GATTTCAGGGCCTCCATAGGAGTCACTGGCACCTTTTGAACCTGTGTGAAAAGAAAAGAAGAAGAACATCGACAGTTAAAGAATTATCAATAAAACGGATTTGTAAATATATGCAACGTATACACCAATGATGTACCTTTCCTTTAACGAAAACATAGCTTCCATCAACAGCTTTAAAGGACAAATACTTTGTAACATCTGTATGAATAAGGACACGGACAAGCTTGCCATTTCCCATCATAAACTGTACCATCACATTTTGAAAAACGAAAGTTAGTAAGTGGGCATTGATATGATTTAGCATAAAATAAAAAACGAATGGCAGCTATTATACTTTAGGCATCATGTCAACATTGTAATCCCTGCTAGCGCCTAAATGCTCAGGAGCCTTCTCTTCTCCCTTGAACTTCTTCCAAAGCTGCAAACGCAAAAAAACAAAAGAAGCATAAATAAAAGTAACTGATAGTAACATACCACAAAGCATTTACAGAAGTTCAGATAGAAGAACCTGGTTTAGGTTAAGCGATGTTGATTCCCCACCATAGTAATCATTCCTGTCCATGTGAAGCACCTAAAATCCAGAAAACAATACTATCAGTCGACCAAACCAATGCTTCATCTAACCAAAATCACCAATGCATCATCAATATCAAATCGTGGAAAAATCAAGAGATCAATGAAACATGAAGACTCCTGTGAAATCAAATATCTCCAAGCATCTCCTCACTCAAAATCGAAAATCACTTTATCCGCACCTCATCCATATCAATACCAAATTTTTCGAGCTCAAATTACAATCGGAGATCCAATCTGACCGAGATCCGTTCGTCTTATACCAAATAAAAGTAGAAATTCGAACACGGATCAATGCAAAAACCGAAAACCGATCATGAATCAAAAGCTCCGTCAACAAATAGGAGGGCAAAAAAAGATCCAAATAAGAATCGAGGAAAGACCTTGACACCATCGACGGAAAGGAGACCGCTGAGGATACACTCCTTGAGACCGGTTCCGAGAACAATAACTTCATACTCTTCATCCATGGCTGATCCCAAATGCTCGTACAGAAAGAGAGAGAGAGAGATCGAAGAACACAGAGATCGCCGAGAGATCAGTGACGAGGTCTATTAGGAGAAGAGCCTTGTTCGTGAAATGGGTAAGAAGTTTCGATGGTATAATAGTAAATAAATAAATATACGAAGGCAAATACAACTAATATTGTTGTTTTAGAGGAAGGTATTTAGTAGGGATTATTGGTTTTTGTATTTTGATGGATTTATAAATCTTTTTTGGATTTGATAAAGTTATTGATTTCAAAATCAGCAAAATGGAAAAAAAAATTAAATTCACTCAAATATTAAGGTTAGACCTTGTATTAGGGTCTTTGTATTTTAGTCATGAAAATTCTTCCAAATCCATTCAAATTCAATTAAAACTAAAATCCTTATAATACTTAGATTCTAAAATGATAGAACCAATAATACTGTATTTCATTATAGATTTTAAAATCATAGAACTAATAACACTGTATTTTAATATAAATTTTAAAATACAAGAACCAATAACACTGAATTTGGTTTGGATTCAAAGAGAGGGGGGGGGGAGGGGGGTAATTGAATTAGACGGAATTAAATTCGGTGGAATTCTATTGTTATTCAATACTCTATTCCACACATTTTAAAAAAATTCTGTGTTATTGAATTTATGTGTCATTGAATTTATTTTTAAAAATTATAGTATTATCTAATTTAGGATAATTGAATTAGATGGAATTAAATTCGGTGAAATTCTATTGTTATTTAGTACTGTATTCCACACATTTTTTAAAAATTATGTGTTATTGAATTTCTGTGTCATTGAATTTATTTTTAAAAATTATAGTATTATTTAATTTATCGATTTCTTAATTATATGAAATATTTGAGTTATTCAATTTTAGTTCCCTTCTAATAGTATTGTTATTATAATATATATACATATATATATAATCAATTCTTAACATTTTACTGTTATTTAGACAGAATTACTTTTAATTCCTAATAAAAAAATAAATTGTTTTAAAATTAATTGTTTTTCAATTATTTATTTTCTTAAAATCCATCATCTAATATCCTCAAAATGAATTAGTATCTCTCATTTATTCTAAATTTATATTAAAACCTTGATAAAATATCAAATTTTTTGATCAACTCTGAATACTATTATTATATTTATAATTATGAATATAAATGAAAAAAATGAATCATCCGAATTTAATCGCTTATTCTATGAAACTCGTCTACATATGATATAACTTCTAATTAACCTCAAACCATCACCTCATTAAATTTTTCAGTTTGTGCAGGAATTTATACTTTAAACTTTAAAGAACCGGAATCAGTGCAATAACTAATTCTATTCAATTTAGATACAATTGCATTGCATTCTATATGATCGACCATCAAAACACATATGAAATACAATTGTTATAATTTTTCAAGGTTTTAATATCAAATGATTACTTTTTTCTTTTTGAAAAGTTATGTATCTGACAATATAGAGTTAATTAAACAATAAACCATTTGAATTTATGATGCTTTGAAATCGCATAAATATAAGGAGACAAGAGTGTCGGATGCAAAACTCACCATATATATTAGTTCAAATCTCTCAAACTGAGTTTAATTGTTAGCAAAACAAACAAATACTTCATTTAGCCATCTCCTCCACTAATGATCTTTTTAGTTACTTCACTCGACTAAAATCCAGATTCAACATATTGCAAGACGAAACGGGTATATTTAAGATTAGTTCAAAAATATATTTCACTATTTAGGCTTTGACTAGACACACCGATATACATTTCAATTCTACAATTAAAATTAGTTATTTATTATCACTTGGAGAAAAACAAACCAAAACTTTGTTATCATTTTTTGTTGCATCGTTTATTCTTTTTTTTAAATCAAAAAATATATTTACAAAGTAGAAAACTAAAAATAGTGAAATATCAATATTCGAGAATTTATTAAAGAACAATATGTGTGTAAATTTTTAAATTAGGTAAGCAGATGTTACGAGACGCAAGCAAAGTTAAGAGAGAATGGGGCATATAGTACATAAAATGAAGATTATATATTTGCTACATCTTCATCATATTTGTATGTCTGTTATTCCCTAAGCAAACTCACTTACAAGTCCTTTTCGTATATATTACAATAACAATAATAGAGGAATAAGAATAGCATTATCTAAAATCAAGCTAAAGATAACATTTTTTTTTATAAAACTACTTGCAATCATTTCAGAAAGAAATCATTTTTCGATTGACGTTGATACTTATAATTTTAAATAAATACATATGTACTGTATTTTTGCAAGTTTACACGCATTATATTTGATTACATGACTTTCAATAATTCTTATAATTGTGGGTCTTCCATAATTAAAATAAACTATGTTAGCATATAGTATTACATCATCATCCATTGAACACTTCTCAAATTTTGTTATAGCTTCGAAACTATGAATGAAACGCGTTTCATAATTAATATTGTTATGATTCACACATAACGATCCAATTTCTAATATTTTTAAATTTTCAAAATCAAAATCGTAGTATAAACGATAATGTTATGATTCGCGTTTAATAATTAATATTGTTATGATTCACGCATATATAGGTTTGATTGAGTCTCAACTATTTTATCAACGATAATGTTATATGTGTTTCCATCTTTTGAAGTCTCAAATCTCCAAAGATTTGACCTCTAACCTCAATTTCTTCCATTTTCAACATTTCCACTACGTCATCCATTATTTACATGTTTTGTTTCCCTTTTTTTATTAAACATTTTAAATTATACTATATTTTTCTTTATAAAAAAACAGAATACTAAATTTTATAAAGAAAAATAAGAAACTAAACATAATATGAATTATTCTCTTTTTTTTTACAAAAATGAATTATTCTCATTTAAACTCAAAATCTGACAAGAACAACAAAAGAAAGAAAAAAAAACTATAAATCCTCGTTGTCTTCATTTGATTTGTAGTCCTTAGATTTCATTTTCACAGATTCTAAATTTCAATGGAAACTAACAGCGAACCCAAGAACGGAGGAGAATCTAAAATTAGAATTAATAAATAAGATTCGCCAAATGTAAATAAATCAAGAGAATATTGTATCAAAAAATAACATACTTTAAAAAAAAAAAATCAATTAAATAAATTCTGTCATCAAAAACCAGAACCCGATGCACAGGGTTTTTCTCAGCCTCTATTTTTCTCTCTTTCTCTCTCCTTCTCTCAATGAAAATCTTGTCCAGGTCTCGCTACTTTCTCTCTTAATCATCTCTTATGGTTCATGTGCATCATATGTATAGGCCAATTACGTTGTTCTTCGCGCTCTTTTGAAATTCAATTCGGTTTATCTGATCAGGTGTTCGATTCGATTTGGTGTTACTGTTCTCTGTGTGTTTATTTGCGCGAATCGAATTGGATATTTTGTTGATGATGTATTGTTTCCGTTCTAGGGTTTGTTGTTGAATTCTCTCATGCTATGATCAACACCTCAAGACCTAGTGACGCTTAAGGGAAAGCATCGAGGATCTTAAGAAACTGCGGGATCAGTGCGTGCTGGGTTTTGGTTTCGCGGCCTTAGAGTTTGTAGATTTCGATGCTTCTGATTGGAAATATCGAGACTCTTTTCGCTCTTGTGATTCGCGCCTAGTTGCATTTCAGGATTTTCGTTCCCAAAATCTCTGATTTTTGTTTGTCTGCAAGTAGTGGGTTTCGGTATCTTGATCTAGCCTGCACTTTGGAGAAATCTAGAAGAGCATACAAAGTTTGAGACTTTTGTTCTCGTTTCGCTCAGTGGCGTTTTGGTTTTAAAAGAAATGAGACCTCAAGGAAGGGATTTGCCCCAGAGTATTGGACATAAGGAAGATTTTGTTTAGTGTCTTTTGGAAGATAAGTTTTTGTTTTGTGTGTGGTTCTTTCTTTCATGCGACTTGAGGAGAATGGAGAAAGAAGGCGTGTGCGATGGTATCAAGTTAGGTGATGAGATATTCCCTGATGAGCCTTACTGTTCCGAGATGGAAAATGAAACCATTGCTTCGTCTCAGAAGAATGAAGGAGGTGAGGGGAGTAATGTGGTGTTTTCAAGAGAGGCGCCTCTTATAGGTAAGGATCCAGCTGGAACTAATTCGGGCGATTGCTGTGGTTGTAGTGCGAAGAAACTAAATTTCAAAGGTAGTGAGGATCTCATTGAGAAGAAAAACATTGGTCAGCAGCAGAAAAAGCTTAATAGACAGGATCGAATCGAACAGGGACGGCTCTTCCAAGGAGCTGTTACCTCGCTGGATTGGGAACTCGCTGAGAGATTGATTCAGTTGGCTGATCCGCAAACTTTGAATGATTTGTTGTGCGTTGGTCTGGATTCTGTTTGGTTCTTAAGTACAAAGCACGAATTTCAAGGGATTACTAGTCTGATTAAGAAGACTATATCTCACGGTGCTCATGATTTTACAAGAGTTACTCTTAGGACTTCGTTTCTCGCTTCATGTGTCTCTGCTTGCTAGAGCAAGACTCATAGTCTTGCTGATAGTGTGACCGTAATGGCTCAAAGGTACATTTGCGTTTCTCCTCTTTTCCATAAGTGTAATTGATGCACTCGCTCCTCTGGGATGCTTAGAACAGGTTTGCTGTTGTTATGATTTTCTTCCTCTGCAACTCAAAACCTTTGATCTATTTTTAGTCTGTTTTACCAGTTGTATCTTACTTGCTAAAATGAATCTTATTCGTGCAAGTGGCGTTTATATGAGCTCAAATGCTGCTAAATTCCACTGACATTGTTTTTTTCGCCTGATAATAAGTTTTCTGTTTACACATTCATGTAGCACTAACTCGTCTGTGTTGATGGATGCATTTGCAGTAGTTAGCATGGGATGTAGATTTGTCTTTGCGCACTTGTATGAGTTTTTTTTCCATTTAAATGTGCTGTGAATTTGCTACAGTTGCTTCCTGTTAAACTGATTATATTTCCTAACCTTAAACGTGCTGTGAATTTTCTACTGCTTGATGTTAATGTTGATGACTGACCTCAATACCTGTCTGCCTATTTATTTGCTATACAGTAACCATCACCTAAATCCGAGTTTTATGTCTCATTTATACATAATATTTAGGTTGCAGGAGCGTCTCCAGGAGTGCAACGGGGATGAGATTCTGAAGGTTGAGGCTGGTGCAAAAGTTCAGAAGTTCACTGAATGGGCTCTGAAATGTATAGGTTTCCACTCCCGTTGCCAGGGAGCAAGGGATAGAGTTAGCGACAATCCAGCTGCTGAGATTGAACTACAGCTTTCTGCTTTCAAGATGTTCCTAGATCTAGCAGGAAACCATCTCTCGGGGAGAGATTTCACCGAGGCCTTCGATGCAGCTTGTTTCCCGCTCACTCTGTTCTCTACCTCGTTTGATCCTGGTTGGGCGTCTGGAGCATCAGCTACTGTCATACAGGGGCTGCTGGGTATGCTGGTTGAAGGTGGCGTAGATAACGTGAATCAATGTTTCCTCGAAGCTTCACATTTTGGTAGTACAGAACTTGTCCGCGTCTTGTTGCATGTAAGCTTCCACTCATTTGACTGCTTTTAGAATTGAAGATCTCTCTTTGTGTTTCTCAATTTTTTTTGTGTATTTTCCTGATTTAGATTGCTCAAAGGAACAGCTTAGATGTGGATGTGGACTTAGCTCTTGGCTTTGCCTCACACTATTGTAAAATCGGGACAATGAAGTGCTTAGTGGAAGAAGGTAATGCCATTGCCTTCTTGGGTCCTTTGATGAGAGCAGCAGAGAGAGGTTGTATGCAAGTTGTTCAGTGGTTTGTGAAAAGAGGTTGCCGCGACATGGAGCTCTGTCTTGCCCTAACAGCCGCCACTTCAAGCTGCCAAGTCGAGGTCGCTGCGTATCTCCTCCCTTTTGTTCCGCCAGCTGTCCTAACCGCTCTCAGCATCGAAATCCTCAAAGCAGCCGGAGAAAGAAGCGGAGTGTCTCTCCAAGGAGTGGATTTTCTCCTCAAATCAGACTTCTTAGGAGATTCTGCGGCCACATACTCAGTCGCGGACAGTATCGCGACGTCGTCAGAGGACGAATCCATCCCTTCAGACCTAAAATCGTTTCTACGAGAGCATTGGTCGGAATCAGCTTTCGAGAAAGGAAGGAGAGAAGGCCATGAGAATTTCATGAACTTTATGAGGGTGTTGAAGAAAGGCGAGTCTGCGTATCCTTAAGAGACCTTCCTGCACCGCTGAGAGTAGCGATTGCCTACATGCCGCTGTACAGAGAGTGTGTGAATGCGGGTGGGCGGTTACTGTCTCAGAGGCTAAGAGGACAGCTCGTGGAAGCTGTGAGGCAACTTCAATGATGTGTTGTTGCGTTTGTGGAAGTAAGCGAGAGTCATAAACTTATGGCGGTTTTAGAGCATCACCTTACCGCCATTTTCGGTTAAAACGGTTTCTTCTACCCTGAACCAGGAATGAAGCAAGCAGAGGAGATGCAAGCTTCTCAGATAATTGGATCCTGATATGGGGCAACACTCTGTGTTGAAAAATAAGAATGGACAAAAAAATAAAATTTTACTATTTTAACGGATATGGGATGCGGATTTGAAGATTAATGAAATGGGGTTTTTTTGTATAATTTGTCTCTTTTGATGATGTATATGTCAGTCTTTTTTTACCCTTTTCCTTTGTTATGCATATAGCTAGTTTTTTTTTTAAATTGCGAAACAATAAACTATGCAAAAACATGTAGCTATATGCACCGGAATCTATCACCTTAGACACTCCAATTCCATATAGGCTGATATCAACAACAACATGTGTGTATATCTATGTATGTATGGGTGATGAGTGTATGTATAAGTCGGAATATCGGAATCTATCATTGTTTTTGTGCATGGTAAGCTATTATTAGTAAAATTTAATCATTCGGTTAAATTTTAGGGATCACCCAAGCTTATAAAAACTAAACACCCACCATTAAATTAGTTCGTTTTATGTTTAAATTTAGCCACGTTCATAAATAGATTATTTACTAAATAATGGAAAAAAACTGTTTCTCACAAAAATATTATAAATACTACATATTGATGTTGATGTTGTTTTTACTTTAACAAATACCTCACATCCAAAATATGAATACTTTAATTATTTTTGTGTTACTTGTTGTTATATATTTTGGGTTAAGTGAAGCTGTTTCTTGCAAGAGAAATCATGTAGTATTTCACAATGAACTCGGTCCTAATAATGATCTTTATATTAGTTATCGCGGAAACCCTAGCGGTGATATAAAAACTCACACAATGAAATATAAAGATCTTTTTTTCATAGTTGATTTTAAAGATAATACTTGGCCAGATAAAACAGGATGGAATTGCGTTCTTATGTACGGACCTAACAATAAATTTAAGGCTTCTTTTGAAGTATATCATACAAGTCATAAGCGATGTGGCCAGCTACGTTCATGGATTGCCAAATTTGATAAAATTTGGTTAACAAAAAGATATTATGATCCGCCAGGATTAGTATTAAAATGGAATATTACAAAGTAAAAAGTATTTTTTGTTTTGTTTCATTTGTGTCTTATAAACTAAATAATGTATTAAGAGTGGAGTAATCGTTTGATGTTATTATATATAACAGAATATTGTAATATAACACATGAATTTATTTGATCTCTATGTATATTTTCATCATTGTTTTGTCTCTTAACGATGATGACTCATGAAAGTATAAATGTGTTCCAAAAGTTGAGCTACGTAATAACGACAAAGGTCAAAACACTTTAAGGTGGGAAAACGGCCAATTCCACCATGAAGTAAAAAATTCCTGATAATTCACATATGATCTATAGAACAATGCGAAAACCTACATAAATTTTGTAAAGTTTTGAATTTCCACCATAAACTACAAAATTGTGGTCGAAACAACCAACACTGTTGACGCTGTGACTTCAACCGTTAGCTGCTGATGACTGGACACCACGTGATAAACACAAAACGGCGTCGTTTTATTTTGTTGGAAATTAACAAAAAACTATCGGGTCTTCATCGTTTCTGATTTTCTGGTTTGGGGAAAACTTTTGCAATCGGATATCTTAGAACCCTAGAAATAATTGAATGATGTCTGGAGCCACGAGTAATGTATCAGGGGCTTCGTCTGAATCATCAACTGGTCGGCCAAGAAGCGGAAGAGTTGTGGGTGTGCCCAAAAGATGTTGGTGTGGTGAGGAGATTGTTGCTTTGATATCCAAATCCGACAAAAATCCTTACCGTCGATACTACCGTTGTGGTTATGCTGCATCAAAGAAGGTAATATGAATTGCTTATAATTCGTTGCTGTGATTTCGTTTCTTGTGATCGTTATTGATGTGTTTTTTTCGATTTTCAGCTTATGAATGATAATCATATATTCAAATGGGTTGATGAGGCACTCTTAAACGAGATTGAGACATTGCAATTCAAAAATGCAAGACTTGAGCAAGAGTTGAAAGAGATTACAACAGACCGTATGGAGTTTGAAAATAAGGTTTTTAAGAAGATTCAAGTGAAGTTAGAGAATGAGATATTGGAGAGGGTTGAAGATTTATTGGTTGATGCGAAATGTAGCATGAAAAAGACAATGGTTCTTGCGGTCATTGGATGTATGATCCTTGTTGGATGCATGAAGCTAGTAGGTTGAAGAAGATGGTGATTTTGTAGTTTGTTGGTTGTAGTTTGTTGTTTGAAGTTTGAGCAAGAGTTATGCAATGGTTCTTGTGTCTTAATGGTTTAAATCATGAAATGCATCTTTGTAATATTTGTACTTTGTAATGTTTCCCTCTTTGTGACATTGGTTTAAATAGTGAATGCATCTCTTTTTCATATTTGCTGATTCAATCAAGAAAGAGTTGATATAAGAATCTTAAAAACTGCAGGTTTTTAAAAATTGCAGGTTTTCATAACAAAGACTGCAGGTTTTAATCTATGAATCCATAACGCCAACAACCTTAACGCTAACCATTAATCCATGAATCTAAAACAAAATAAACCATAACGCCTCCATGAATCCAAAACAAAGTAAACCGCAATGGCAACCAAAATACCAAAATACAATTCAAGAACACCCAAATGATTATAAAAAGAAGTGTTTACATGAATCCAAAACATAATACACCGCCATTGTAGCCTACTAAAATAACCGAACCATCAAAAGCCTCAAAAGCCTCAAAAGCCTCTTTTAACCAAACATTATCCTGCAAAAATGAACCACAAATAGAAACAAATCAAAACCTGAAACAAAACCAAATAAAAAACCTGAAAGTGAAACACAAACCTGCTATTAGTCAATCACTTGGCTTTGCATTGGCTGACTTGATTCCTCACCAATATCAGATTGAGCTTCAAGCACCTTCTTCTTTTTTGGTGGTCGGTGAAGAGCAATTACAACATTCTGACATCTTCTTGTGTTATGTCCACTTTCTCCACATCTTCCACAATGAACGATTCTTTTTTCTCTTGAAATCTTTGTTGGAGACGGATCCCTCTGCTTTGCCTTCTTCTTACTTGGAGACTCATTCTTCCCCTTGATCCTTTTAGGAATTTTTTTTCTTCCTCTTGTTGGTTCTGTTTCTGTAACTGGTGGCACAATCCCAACTTCATCAGTCTTTTCCCAGAAGTTTACACCACGTACAGCACTAATTGTTGTACTATATTGACTTTTCCACTTAGAAGTCAAATAACAATCAGCTATATAATCATCTTGCTTGCGCTTCTTCTCTGAAATCACCTTCAAAGCATGACGACAAGGCAATCCTGACATATCCCATCTTCGACAGTCGCAAGTGCGATCAAGCATGCGGACCTCGAATGAAGAATTTTTCTCTGTAACCTCATAAACCTCATGACCAGCAGGAAATACCTTACAGTGCAGGATCTTTTTCTGCTCCAAATCGACTCGTTCCATTGCTTTTATGCTAAATTTGCCTCTATGCCTCATTGCCTTAAGCCTTCTTGCTTCAATGCGCAACATTGCTCGTCTCCGTATTGTCTCCAACATTTCAACGAGAGGCATGTTTCTTGCAGGGTCAATGGCACTGTTAAATGACTCAGAGATGTTGTTGCTTACATCATCACACGAAGATGCGGCTGTGAAAAAAGCAAGACTGCAATTTTTGGGATTCTTCTCCATCATCGAATTGTAGACATTCATATCATACGCCTTTACTTCATCCACCCTTTTCCTGTATTGTGGTCCATTGTAGCTCTTTGCAACCTTCCAGAATAGCCCTTTCATGTCAACTCTGTTTGGGTGTTTCTTCTTTAAGTTTGCATAAATGTGTCTTGCACACATTCTATGTTCAACCTTCGGTAAGAAATCTGCGACAGCATTCAACAATCCCTGCAAACATTCCCAAATAAAGTTTCAGAAACCCGCGACAACATTCAATAACTCTATGATAATCATGAAATATAAAGTAAGCTAAACTCATGAATACCTTTTGTCTATCTGATATAACTGTAAAGCCATCACCATCTTTAAGATCCAAATCTGTTTGCAACTTCTCAATGAACCATCTCCAATTAGGTTCATTCTCAACATCAACAGCAGCCCAGGCAATAGGGAACATTTGGTTATTTGCATCTCTTCCAACAGCTGCTAGCAACTGCCCTTTTATTGCGCTCTTAAGGAAGCAACCATCAAGACCAAAGATGGGTCGGCAATGAGAAGACCATGTTTGTTTCAGTGCAGCGAAACATACATAAAATCTGTGAAAGACATCTGCTCCATCCTCTCCCTGAAATGTCTCAAGTTCGACAGTAGATCCCTCATTTGTTCTAGAAAAAACAAACACAAACAACTTTGATAAGTGAAGATAAAACATGTAAAAACCAAAAGATGAAACATGTAAAATAAGAAACTTACTCTGTGAGCTCTAGACGGTAGTCTTTAAGTCTTGAGAATTGTAAGTCATTTTCCTCTTGGATCATGTCTAGGGCCCTTTTCTTTGCCTTTCTGCACTGGTCTACCGTTGCAATTAAACTCCAACGCTTCTGAATCTCATATTGAATAGCTTTTGGCATGATGGTCGGATCATCTCTTAGATCATCCACAAACAGCTTGGCGATGACCTCTTGAGAAAGTATCTTAGAACGCCAAGTCTTCATGCAAGTATGCTTCTTATTGTATACTTTAACCAACCATTTTTGCAATGGTTCTTCATAAGAACAGTAAATCTTCCACATACAGTTTTCTTCTCCTTCTTCAGCTTCACTTGCACATTTAAGTTCAGACTTGTCTTTCTCCCAACGGACATATTTCACATTCCATCCTTCCTTTAATACATAATCGACCATAGCTTGCTTAAAATCTTCTAAACTGTCAAAGGATTGTCTCAATTTCAGCTCACCACTGCCTTTCTTATATCTGAAATAACCCCCTGCCACATTATCAGCTTCTTCATCATCTGAGCATATGGGTGTCAGATATTCATCAATCTCTTCATCAACAAATTCTGCTACATTCCTTTCAACCCTTGCTTCTTCATGAAACTGATGCTCATCACTTGCAACTTGCGTATCTTGCTCAGTACGATCAGTCTCTTCGTTCTCGATATCAGGCTCGACAAATATATCAATTGCTTTGGTCCACATTGCAGCTTCACACATCTTCTTAAAGTTTTCATCACCATTACACAATAATTTTCGGTCTTCCTGTTCTTCAAAAGGGAGCTTATACCA